ACACAAAGGTCTCAAGGTCTCCTCTTTTCTGAATTATTCCTCTGTTTTTCAAAACCTTGGAACCTCTTATTTCTGCTTCTGCTTCAACTTTCATTCCAATCTTAAAACTGGGAGAAAAATTGAGATCATTGTGCACACAGCCCTTCTTCATCCACGATGTTTTATCCATCTGATTATAAAATTTAAAAGGCTTTTTTCAGTGCAAGTATCTTCAAAGATTGTCTTGAATTACCACTAGTCGACTATCTTTGTATCTCCAGGTATTTTAAGTGTTGCCTGTTTTCTCTTTAAATACATTAAAGATTCTTCTGGTACTACTGATGAAGAAAAAAAGTACATGTCCTGAACCAAACATTTATACCTACATCTTTGTTAGAAAATAAAATAAAATGAGGTTAGCCAGACTTTCAAACATTTTGATCAGGTAATATATATGGAATAACATTATAAAATCAGACTTGAGGGATAGAAATTGCAGGAAGAAAGTCCATGCTGGTGATGACAATGCATTGCATTAAAAATGAACTTCACAATAAAAGACATAACTACCAGATGTGGAAACTGCTTTTCATTTCTAGTGTAGGGTACTCGTACAAACTTTTATGCATTTTCATAAATATGAAACAGTTCTGAAACCGTATTTGCAAGCTAGTTCAGATTCCAGGGGTAGTATAGGTGCATTCACATACCACTCCAACTGAGATGTAAAATCCTAAATTAAACAAAACTGCTACAGAAGTTTAGAAGGATGAACACAACTGACAAAATCATCATCTGCATTTATCAGAATTAAGTGGTTAGGAACTTGTTGCTTGGAATTTTTATAATTCATATTTGTCTCCTCAAAACAAAAGATTTTCCCTAATTATTCAGGATTGGCCTACATGCATATTACTGGGCTTAACAAAGACACTGCTGAAGATGAAACTTGCATGCTAGGAAGTGCATGAATAGGAGATGATGAATCACAAAAAAGAACTTTGCAAACAACAGGAATATATATTGCACTTCTCACGTAACTATTTTAGAGTGTCCTCTATTCTATTATGCTTTCTGAAAAGGTGGACAATTATTAATCCTACAAATATGCTGCAATTGCTTTTGACATGTGCTTCCTTAGCCATAGAAGAAGAATGCAAGAAGAAATCAATGAGAAAAAATTGCTGGGTAGAGTGAAATTGCCTTAGGGATTTTGTTTTATGCAATAAAACAACCTAGGAATTCTATTTCTAAGCAAGATGTAGTATTTATTCATTTTTCAGGGACCTCTTGTAGTCGGCAGCCTTAAAATTTCACCTGTCTTAGAAGGGAACACATCTTTAGTGAAATCTTGATGTTCTTCAATGCACTATGCTTACAGAACAGTAAATACAGCATAAAGGAGGTGAAATAACCCCAGATTTTGTGCTCCCTTTGCAAGGCTATAAAATTTACTTTTAATACACTGAGTTTGAGTACTCACAGACTGGAGCTTCAGATTAGGGGATCTGAATGAAAAATGACAAAAACATCAATTATGGCAGCTTATTCCTAAAACCATTTAAAATGCCCCCCAGACCTTAGTATAGCTTAGCGTGCTCTCAAGAGTCAGGTCCCCTAGCAAGGGATTATCAAACAACAGACAATCTCTGGAAATACATTCTTCTTCTTGCTCATGCTAGGAATGAATAAGCTCAAAGGGAAAAGACCAACACAGGCTCTGTCTCCACTATCCATAATCTCCCATCTCACCCCACTCCAAGAGATAGGTCAACTGATATTGCACGCTGCAAAAAATTTATGCTGTTGTGGAGCAAAAGGTGGGATGCAGGGGATGAAGTTTCACATTAGCCAGTTATCATCCCACTGAAAGATACTGCTAGGGAACGTTTTGCAAGGCAGCTGAACTGTATGTAGAGAAACCAAGGCAGACTTCTTAGTAAACAAGTAGTATAGTCCCTTTTGAAGATCTATTCTAATTTGGTTTTAACTCCAAAGTTCTTTAATATGTAGTAAATAATATGGTAGTATAATATAAAACAAGACAAAAATGTTTTATTCATAGAGCTTTTGTATGTCTTGTTTACCACAGCTTTTCCTGTACCCAGTCCAGCTGGTACCATATGTACTGTCTTCTATGCTTTGTTGCTGTTTTCTAGTATTAAATATGTCCAAATTTTATAGCTGAGCAATAGAAGTTAGTAACATAGGTCTGATGCATAGTAATGAAGGTAGAACTGTGTATAATGGTAACACCTTAGTAAATAAATTAATATGTTTATGGCTAATGATAAAAAATATGAAAGACTAGACAAGAGTGAGGTCAGTCAGTGGTACCACAACATGGCTATAAGTGAGGACTATTCATAACCATTGAAAAGATACCTGCATGCTATTTTTCAGTCAAGTTATATCTCTCTTTTTGTTCTATTTTTTGCCTGAAAGCCTGAATAGATAGCAGTGCCTGACTGCAGAGGGTACATATGGGGATTTGGTCATAGTCCTTACATGTTTGGGTCTGCCTCCCACAGTTGTGTCTCTGACTAACGCAATATTTATTTATTTTGCTTCAGTCCCTGGTGCCCAGTTTATTCTCTATTTGGTTTCTTCAGCCTCTCCTTTTCTAAAATGGTTGCTGAAAACCCTCTTCATTTACTGTCTTGACTTGCTGCTGAAAACCTCCTCCTTCCCTTGAATCATCTCACCGGCTAATCAAAATCCTCATCTACTTGACAATTGTTAGCTACCATTATATGACAATTCAGACCTGAACAATCAATTTGTTCTGTGCAGTAAGCAAATATTTCTCTACAAGGGCTTTTGGGTGAATCACAGACTGTTGATGTTAGGTGTAACTTCTGTTGTTAGTAACATGAACTTTACACAAAGACAGAGGTTCAAATACTACAAAAGATAACTCTATATAACCAAAATACAGCTTAGAGAATGACACAGATATTCACAGAGAATCTTCAGGTTCACATTACCTTCCTTATTTCTTTGTTTACTGGCTTCAACAAGGAATGTATCTGTAATCTAAGGCTGTACAGGTGAGTATCGCAAGACATCTTTTGCAATTTTTATTTGAATGGACAATAGGGGTGTTCTTCATCTTGTGCCTTTGTTTGAGCTTGTAAATCATTCTGTAAACTCACGAGGGAATGCTGAGCTCAGAAATGGATGTTTCTGGATTCCATAAAAATTTTTAGAAGGCCTTCACACTAAAAAAGGCCAGGTTTTATCTGGGAAAAACGACATCACAGTTTAATAATAGAAAACACTCAAAGTGACTACATAAAACAGAGTAAAAATAAAGAGCTTTCCTAACTGTCTTAGTGTGCTTGCAGGTGGATCTTTACCTTCAGCCAGCTCTCTCAACAGCAGCTTACTTCAGTGCTAGGACCCACACCACAACAAGTCTTCTGTGACAAAACTTCCTTGAGGTTATCATTTATCAGGGTACAAAGAAAGATTCAAAGGCACATATTTTCACCCTGTTCCATTACAGATTCTGAGGAAGTGCCTTAATCTTACCAAAATTTGGCTTACAGACCAACTTCCTGCTTCTCATTTCAGCCTCAGTGAATTGTACCCCATAATGTTCAAGATGTCACATAATTCAAAACAAAGGGTGAAGTTAAACTCAAGGCTGCAGATCTGATCACTAGCAAGCACAGCACAGAATCTGCAAAAGGAAACAGAGCAGTTTGCTAAACTAGGCAATATATCAATCCTTTATGCTATGTACACTTTATTTACAGGGCATTTGAAGATTCAGAATGATGATGAATGAAGCTGCAAAACACAGTATGACTTTCATCACTTAAGGCGGGGAGCAGAATAAAACTTATTTGTGATTTTATCTTTTTTAACCAATCCCTAATAGTGAATTCAGAGGCATTCCTTTTTGTTTATTCAGTCTTGTTTCTTATTACTTTTCCAGATTCTGCTTCAGTTTATAGCCCCATGTCTGCTCAGTGAATTTGGTTAGTACTCTGTTTTACATGCACCACTGCATGGGTAGAGAGGAAGTTTTACCAAGGTTGACAGATGCTAACCTACCCGACGAAGAGAAGTTATTGTGACTTCCTAGTTCAGCAAACTACTATTCTTCCGTGGTATTAGTTTGAACAATATCAAAACTGCAATAAAAAGTGCATTTTCCACAAGAAAGACAAGAGAAAGGGCATCATAATATTTTTTCAAATATAGATGTTTTCTCTTCTCTCATAGTCTTCATGGAATTTAGCAGTAGTGCCAACCACAGAAAGAGTCACATAGTACAACCATCAGTTAGTCACTCTGACCTAACATTTAATAGGTTCTTTTATATATAGATTTATCTCTATGTATATCTGTTTCCCCCGGAGCTTGATTCTTGTAAAGTACTTGCTATTTCTACTGCCAAAAAGTCACCAGTCCCTATGATCTGATCTCTTAGCAAAAACATTGTCAAGTGTCATCTGATTTTAATTTCCATAAATCCACCATCAGTTGTGCATTCTCCTTGCTTAAAAGTAACTTTTATGAGTAAAAAAGAATATTTTTATATTTTTTTCATCACATATCTTAACACGCACAAGCAATGTCACTTCAGTGTCACAAACTGGCTATTCTATCTCTCTCTTTTCTTTCTCTATAAAGAAAATATTAATATGATAATGAATGGTTGCTCAAGATCCTGTTCAATTTTACTGAGTGCTAGGAGAAGAAAGTCAAAGTGCATTTGGATTTTCATTTTTACAGTTCAATTTCTTACTGTAACTACTCAGCAACTTTTTAAACCAAATAAAGCAAAGACTTATGGAATGGACATATTCTACATTATGAAGTCATCATTCCTAAGCCATAGTGCTATATTTAAATTGTTTATTGAGTTACAGTATCCCACTCTGGTATCAAGAGCAATTTAGAGTCATTGATGGAAAAGAAGAAATACCAACCACATTTCCCCCCTTACCTTAGCATTGTACAGTATCAATTATTTCCCACACAGCTAGAAGGAAAATATACATTCTTACCCCACAGCCTATTCCATTGCCTGGTTCACACACAATTTTCTTCAACCCTGGCTCAGGAAGCAAACCGGCCCCACAGCTGGGCGTTGGACACAGCACTCCTCCCATCTGCAGCACACATTCCTCAGCCCCATAGCGCTGGTAGCGGTTGTACTGCAACGCGACAGACTGGTGTTAAACTTCCAACAGCACACAAAAAAAAACTCAAAAAATTTGAGCTTGACGCTAGTCCCCATAATTGAGTCAATTGTCCTGATGTCTCACATTCTAAGTTCAGGTTATTTGTCAAAAGTGTAAAACTGCACAGTGTCGTTAAGTCGGGGTGTTCCTCCACTCCAGTTCATATCATACACATCGTTTTCTGGTTCACAGCCATCATTTTCATCACCAGAAAATTGCGTGAGATATTAAACCCAAGAAAACAGCAGACTGTTTCTGTAAGTAACCTCCAGTACACTTATATTACTATAAAAAAATTACTGTAAACATCATAAAACTAGTCCAACAGATAACTGATAAATACTGTATACAGAATGAAAAGAACACACAAAAAAACCTTCAAGGATCTATAGTTAGAAGTACAGTGTAATGTTTTAGAGCTAAAGGGCTGTAAAAATTTGCCTAGTCAATCTTATTTTAAAAGTAAGCTGATCATTAAGTTGATGATTAAACAAAATAAGATTATTAAACAAAATAATTCTCTGATATAAACTTATTTCAGTGTCACGTATATTTTGGTCTCCCCTGGAAATTTCCTTGTTTTTTTTACACTTTTCATCTAATTACATCCTAATACCCTAAAAAGCCATGGAAATGCCTTCATTTTAACAATGGAGACACTGACATATTAAGTAACATGCTCAGCTTACACTCACTGAAAAAAACGCCGGTTCTAAAATGATTGATGCCACGGCAATAACTTTCCCATGTCTAATTTACCCTGCTTTCACCCAGAGATAAGCTGAGCAAGTACAAATCATGCCGCGTCCATGTAAATCACATCCACTCTAGGGTTCTGTGTTGGTGTGGTTCCACACTAGTGGCTATATAACCACTGTAAACCAGGCTTCAGATTTGCCTATAAGTCTGGTCTATTGTGGAGAGAAATAAATGAAAGCATTTGGTTCTAACAGTCCCAAAGAAAACAGGAAAATCCAAAAGGCCAAAGAGGAAGAGAGTAGGTATGAATTTTCTCTGAGAGAAGACTTTATGGTGTGCTAAAGGAACAAAACAGAGCTTTATGTTAGAGTACTCACAACAGTATTTAGTGCTTCACAAGCTTTTATCCCGTAACTGCTTATGAAAATCTTGTTCCCTTTTTTTGGAGGGATAACAAACAAAAAATTATTTCTCTAATCCACATTCCTCTCCAAAGAAATCCCACAAGGAAAATGGAAGCTTTAGGACCAACATCTCTACATATAGCATACAAAGAAGAATTTTAAATTACAAAGATGGCTCTAATTCTATTTTCTGGGTACATTTAAGAAGATTCTTCTCCAAATGTTGCCATAACATATCTTGTTACATTGGCTTTTTAAAAACTGATATTAGCATTCTTAAAAGACTATAATATATAGACACAAACCCTTTCATCACAGAAAAACAAATTACCAAACTTAAAGTATCCACCTTTGTTAATTAACAAAAAATCCAAACAAAATTCCTCTCAAAAGAAAGGCAAAATCTAAAAGGAGAAAAAGACTTCAAAATATCACTCAGTGTAGAAAATGACAGCCAGAAATTCTGAATATAGAATCTTGGGTTTGGAAAAATAATAATATTTTGAGAAAGGTACAAGATGTGTCTCCTTGAGTGTGGGGGCTCAAGAAGTCAACTGGTGTTTTACTATGTTATTATTATAGTCGACCCTAGAGAAATGGCATAAATATTTAATGTTGGATGCTCTGAATTTTCAGCAGTTTGTGATCCTTGCACTAAATACCTGCTGAGTGCTCTGAGTCATTCTGATGACCCTGAACAGAAATACAGGTAATCACAGGTGCAAAACTCGCTGTTGACCTAATTTTTCTTCAGGGGACAGACTGGACCTGAAGGTTAAGAGGGAACTTTGTGCTGGATGTGGGATTGTTAGCAGGTTCTCATTATGAAGACAAACACCAGTGACACTGTAGCTGACATTCTGCCAGCATTTCCATTAAAATTCTCAGCTAAAAAAAAGATTATGCTTTCCAGCCCTTAACTTAGCATAAAAGGCATAGATTCCTCCCATCTCCTCTGTATTTTTTTTGGGATACACAAAAGTGGAAGTTAGGTAAAATGGGAATCAATTTGTCTTGTTAGAGAAAGATACAGAAAGGAAATGCCCAGTTTACCTACTGGCAAGATGGACAAAGCTATTGCATTCTGTCCAACAGATTAGACATTTTATGGCAGTTCAGCATAGCACTCATGCCAAATCAGGATGGCACTCTCACCCGTGATTTTCACACTATAAAAGCAAAAAAAAGGTCCAGTGTGAAGACAGAAAAGATCCTACTAAATGTATTTATCTAGTTACCAGCCTGTTTTCTAACTTCAAAGTCCAGATACAATCATAAGATGTCATTTTCCAATTTCTTTTTTCCTTGTGTCTTGGTAAATTAAAACCCAGCAATGGACTGAAACACACAGTAGCAGAACATACACATTTGCTGCCATAACACAATTATACACAACATATGTGGATTTATATCCTTTATTCAGTGGCCCGAAACAAAATTATTCACTTTACACTAAGGGTGCATTATAAAAGACTTGTAAAGGACCGAAATATTTATTAATAAATTATTAATTATTTGCATATTATAGCTACAGATTATAGCTATTAGAGGCATTTTTCCTATATACCACAGCCATACATATCACACCAGACTGATGTAATCAATATGCACTAAGCAAGTTATTTTTCAATAGCTCTTAAATGTCTTTGGAGCCCATGATCTACTTCTGATGAAATATTTAAGGATATTACACCATTGGTTTGCTTGACTCTCAACTGGAGATCTAAAGTAGGATTCATTTAATTTAGTTTGGATTTCTGCAGTGATGATGCTGTAGTTGCACTGGTTGCATAGACTTTTATAATTAACAGGAGAGAGAGGATGTGATTCATCTTTTCTCTTTTTGATTTGTACATCAGCATGAGAAGAACTGAGCCCTGAAGTGCCCTGTTCTATTAATAATAATGAGAGACCAGACACCTTGCTAGATAATGACGCCGGAAATTAGGTGACTCTCACAATAGCTGCTTCAGTTCCAACAATTCTAATCCTAACTCACCTGGCATAAGCTATTCTTAAAACCAAGGTCTAGGTATCTAAACAGCTTGGACTATGAACCACCTCACAGAATTTTAGGTCTTCAAAAATTAAACATCTAACCTAAACAAGTCATATAGGCTCCAAATGAATAAGAAACAAGATCTCAATAAGGGAATTTGTCCTGACTTGCATATGATGTCTAAGATGGGTAGGATGAATCACCTTGTGGAAGTGCTATAAGTTGAAGCTGAGAAAACTAACTTAGGCTAGATATCTAACATGTAAAGAGCCGTTATTAAAAGATTAATCTAACTCTTCTGTACATTCAAAGTATTTCACAGTATCTATTACTCAATTTTTATCAATATGCCTCCCATTTAGAGATGCACTCATCATGTGCAAAATGGTTTTGCACACTACAAGGAAGAAAAATATCTCCAATTATTTTTAGGAAAACCTCTCACAAAGTATAATATATGGGGAACTTGATGGAACTGGCATTCATGGCACCTGATTTCATTCCTGGCAGCAGCACAGCTTTCCTGTGGCTTTCACATAAGTTACTTAATCTATGCTTCTCATCAGTTCCCCATTTGTAAAGAGGAAGAATGATACTTGCTGCTTTCACTGTAATGTTAAGAGGCAAAAGCCATTAATAGTCATGAGAACATCAAATACTATGGTAATGAGCAGGATAAAATTACACAGAAATCACCAGCCGTCTGCTGCTGCTAGAAAGCAGCTTTTGAGTAAAGCATGTCAGGCATCTATGTGCTACTGTAATAAGGTCCTCAGAAATACAGGTAGGCAAGTAGTTGCTGGATTCACCAAATAACCATATTTTACAATACTTATTTGAAAAAAAACCAACTTCAAAAATATGATTTATTCTAAATCACTGGTGCTAAGACAGCAAAAGGTATATGAACAAGGTAGTTGTAAAACATTCTGGTTTTTCTCTGAAAACTGCATTCCATTGTGAATCTTCCCCACAATTTGTGAATTGTCCCAGTCAGTCCAAGTCTGTACTTTTCAGGAAATAAAATTTCAAGTGGAAAAAACTCCAGCTCTACTTATGGTATTTTGACCATATAATGAAGTTCTTTTGTGCAGTCTTTGCCTGTGAAGACTTGTCAGGGCCTTTAGATTATAAATTATAGTATGACACAGACACAGAAACTGGATAATAGTAAGCATTTATTCCTTGTTCTCCACTTTCCAGATTGGAATCGTTTTCCTCAAGTCTTAGAACAGTACTGGGTTTTAAACCAGTGGAAATGCAATTAGTTGATGTTATAAATCAAGGATAATATAATGAAATTATTGGGCTGACACAGGAATAATGGGTTTAGCTGAATTGCAGTCTTTTCACTTACATTGAGATTCAGATACTAAAACAAAACTGAAATGCACCTGGATGCACAAAACTCTCGCAAAATACACTTTGAGAACACAAAAGTATTTCTTGTCGTGTCAGTTAATTTGCAAATTATGCATTAACATCATGAACTCATAGAATGATTTGGGTTGGAAGAGACCTTAAAAGATCATCTATCCCAACTCCTCTGCCACAGCACACATGCCTTGAGCTACTTTAATTTTGCTTTTACCCTTTGGGTATCATTTTCTTTATTTACCTTTTTTCTCTTCACACCTAAAAGCATCTGCTGATAGTAGCCTCACAGAGAACTTTGGGCAAAAATTTAACAGTAGATGTAAAGCCAAAATTTCTAATCTCTGAAATGTAATTCAATTACTTGTTTCTTTTAACTGCATATAACAGTCTCAGAGGAAAGAAAATCTACTTTCTGTAGTCAGATTGTTTTTACTGCTCCTATAAATCAAATAACCATCTGTGTGTTTCAAAATTAGATTGTGGAGGCTATTAGT